TGTGAAAGTTGATTTTATGCAATGTCATAACCTTTGTGCTACTTTATATAAAAAACATAACAAAATTTGTGCTTCATCAGTACACTTGCAGTAGTAGTTGCAGATTGAATGAAAATTGTTTTTTTCTAGCAATAATACCAGAATTTTTTGTGACAACCTTCGTTGTACAATATATTAAGATACCATAACAAATATTTTATCACAGAGTTTAAAAATTATATTCATAATTCATAATATAGAGATGCAATATACAGTATTGTAGTATGCATTAAATTATTCTCTTGCAATATCATACCCGGTTCATGAAAACCTTTGTGCTATAGGAGATACCATAACAAATCAATCAGTCTAAATACTTTGTTCAGTAATAAAAGACTTGATGAAATAAAAATCATTTTGGTCATTTCAGTTATGTCTTGTTCTGTGTTACCTCCAGGTACTTCAGTTTTAATAATTTTAAACATGTAATTTTGTTGGATAGACCAGTGTAAACCTTCCAAATAAGAAACCCTACTTCCACCGTCCCCAGATGTTGCCAGTTTAAGACTTGTATACGGACTTAAAACATAAAAGTATACACAGGCTTTACATTCTCAGAATATATGCAATTTAGTAAATATTACTGTACATTATATAAAGCATAAACAATTGAACAATTAAAATGTATTCAAAAGCACACAAACTCAACATACTAGAGACTAGCAGGTTTACTGTATTTAGAATTTTAAGATGACTATAAATGCAATTGCATAAATGATTTATACATAATGAAAATTAATACATTTAATATACTGTATGGCGAGGCGAGGGATCGGATCAGACGCAGGGAGAAATTATTGAGATAAACAATCCAGTAAAATTACTAGATTTGTTCAATTCTGAAAGAATCAAAGACTGTGACAATACATCAGTCAGTAAAACAGTAAGGTAGCATGTAATCAGTAAACCTTGTAAACATAAATTTACCAGAAGCATAAACTATTAAATAAATAGTATCATAACTAAATACAGTAAATCATATTGTAGCTTAATGCAATCATCAGATCTTTAAGCTCAAGTCAGAATCAAATATGATTGAAGTTACATAATATACAGTAATTCCAAATCTAATAAGCGTTGTAATTAAGTTAACATAATGCATATTGTAAGCCTAAACATATTCAGTAAATTAATGCAATGTCTTCAATAATATGTGTAAGGATTACAGTAATTAATTAAGATTATCAAAGAGACTATGTAAGCAATAACATATCAATCCTTGAACTTACAACTTATCTCCCCAACTACACATCAATTCAGTACAGTACATCGGTTTACAGTAATTGCACCAGTAATACATTCTGAATCAAATGGAATAAGATAAACATAAATGCAATATGGTAAATAAGAAATACAAACAATAAGCTTGAACACATTCCAGAGGTTGTCTAATAAACAAGCATCATAGATAAAACCTCATAACACAATTTGACAAATGTATATCAATGCGCCAATGTAACCATAATATATCTATCTCAGAAAACAAAGGAATTATATCAGATGCAACATAAAATAGTTCCTACATTAACCATGTTGGCCACTGGGTTTGATCTGGGTGATACCATTCTAAAAAGTTGTGTGATGAAATGCGTGTTGTGTATTATATACATGGTGTGACGAGGCCGGGATATAACGTACGGTTTAAGACTATATAGGCCATCTAACGGAGTGTGTTAATTTAATTAATTAAACATTATAATAGTCCCTGATTTCCGTGTTTTATTTTAGTTATAATTATTGATTATATATGAAAATGTGTGTCATAATACTGTGGGTATATAGTAATGTAAGGTACACTTTCTTCATCAAAAGGCTACGGATGGAATAACCTGTTCTTTGGAGCTCAAACTCCTAAACCCAGTACTATTACGACTTTTAATTGTAGGGAAATCTACTTTACTGAATATTGGGCATTTATAAATTTTAAATCCTGTATAGAATCTCATTGTTAAACTGTTGTAATAGTGACTACTAAAAATAATAAAAGATTATAATATAGTATTTATATAGCATTAGTAGGACTACTTGAAGTTTTCCATCCAGTCTGAAGCTAATTTCATGGCTCTCCACCCACCCTTATTAACCCACACTTCCATCCTTGCAGTATAATAGACTCTTAT